CCGGGCTGAATTGCGTTAAAAACGTCCATGTAATCATCAATATTTTCGGCCCCGCTAACCGGGCTGAAACTCAGCCCGGGCTGAAATCACCCCATGTAATCAGCCCCTTAATATTTATTTGTATTAAAAAAATTTCGGGACTTTGATATGTAGCCGTTTAATGGAGGGTGCGTAATTTAAAACACAATTGATTGACATAAGAGCTGGCAGCCGCCTAAAGCACCTTTGTTTTAAGGTTAAAATTTAATTTAGTTAAGCTCAAATTTAGCTTTGCTTGGGCTTTTAAGATATGTAAACTTTACATGTTTACCTAAACCCACTGTTTACCTAAGAACGACAGATTGGACAAAATGATTGATGTCAAGCTTGGAAGGAATTGATATTTGTGAATGGCCAAAAATTATATTTGCTCATACCAGTTGATATTTCCTATTAACTATGTATGTGCATATAACTTAACACAATAAAGCCGTAAGGACTGCATGTAATATATTTAAGTTAAGTATTTTTTATACGAGTACCAACGCGTATTGCACATTAACTCTTTTAGGGGCTAACCCGGACAGAAAAATTCGCCTTGACAATGCTTTTTCGTTTGTTTATTTCATTTTATGTGCAATCATAATCCCTTCAAAGTCAGGTTATTGTCATTCGGGATTTTAACGCGCTCGAAGAATCGAAATAGGTCTAACAACCTCCTTCACAAACTCAGCCCTTGCTGAAAGTCGCCGTAGGGCCAGTTGTATAAAAGGCTATAGTTAACTTTTACCTGTAGTTAGGGGCAGAATTGGAGAATCATAGTTGTGTATTTCTAAGTTAACTAGGATTTAACTATGCAGCGTGTAGTTGAATAGTTTTATACAACCCGCCCCTGGTCTTAAAATAATTTTTACGTGTCATGGCACAGCCCGGGCTGAAACTTGCCATGCCTAGACCCCGGTGTTCCGGGTGAAACTCAGCCTGGGCTGAAAATACACCATGTATTACGATTACATGACAACAACACTATATAAGTGCGCTTTCTATTAAGCAGCCAAAATGGTCAGACCGGTCATATGTTACTTGAAATTGAAGAGCAATTATAAAACTATATTTTCCGCGCTAGGCAGATGTAAATAACGATAAACTCGAATGCAGAGTTCTTGAAACACTCTTAAATACCAATAATCTGACTGTTCCGAAATACAACAGGACCGATCTGGCCGTTTTTTTCGTATAAAAGAAAGCGCCCTAAGTTATTAAGTTTCAACCCTGGCTGAAATTTCAGCTTGGGTATAGCTGAAATCGCGGGCTGTCTGAAACTCAGCCCGGACTGAAATATTGTCATATAACCGCGAGGTATATTTTATTGGCATTTCATAGCTATTTTATCCGTATACGTTCATTTATTTGTATACTAAGATTATTAATACTACAATGGCCATGTAGTCTGAACGCTAACCAAGTTCTAGTAACGTTCAATTCCTTCTATATATATTGTCGGTAACATAACACCTGTATATTTACATGTTCTGTAACCCAATAACTATATATCACAATAGCAATAACGGGCTGAATTTTCAGCCTTGTAGCCGGGCTGAAAAGACCCCATATAATAAGCCTTATAGGCTACTTGTAGCTTTGTACCAGTAACTCTTCTTCGAGATCAAAGTGAAGATAAATTGTAAGACCGCGACCTCAGGAAAGCGGAATAAATTAGACGAATTACGTGAGTAGGAGGAGCTTCGCACGATACTTCCCATGTCCCGAGCCCCGAGCCCGAGGAGTCGCATGCAGAGACCGGATATCCATACCATTAATTAATGTTGACGAAATCTCATTAGCAAAGAAATCGTTCAAGCATACGACGTTATATCCTGGTATCCTTATACATATGTACATCAGATCAGTGTTCGATTCATTTCAATTTCAATCTCGAAGGAGGGCAGACTAGGCTACTGCCTACTGGCGAAGCTATATTTGACCACAGTGCGATTTGACCGAAGACAATTTCCAGGTATGTATTGATATATAAATCCTGTAGCATACATCTTTGGTCAATGTTATACATACACGGGGGGATTACATGTGTATATAGGCTTTTTACGAATCTATGTCATACAGTAGACCAACATTTCTTGTAAAGTTCTGAATCAGTAACTATTGCGAAGCGATAACTTCGGGTCTGCTCATAGCTCGCTCCTTAAAAAAAGAACCCTTTCAATAAAGTTTTATTACATTATTATATTGGTTATCCCGAGATTACATTCATAAGTCATAAGTGCAAGTCCATGTATAGCAATGTGCGTAATTTACTTCATTAAACAAAGCTATGAAAAAACTAAACTTTGAAGTGAAGTGTTTTCGTGCCATATAAGAGGAAAGCAAATACAAGTTCGTGCATACTCGTATACACTTCGCTGGGAAGATCTACCAAACTGTAATCCCGGCTGCTAAGCTTTGCAGTGTTGTTTCACATTTGTCGTATATTATTTAATGCCTGAAGGGCTTTTGTAAGTGTATGCAGTCCTTGAAGCATCAAATTTTACTCGACAAATATTAATCGCAGAAAGCAAAGCAAAGTTTATATTGTCTGTACAAATTCCGATATAACCAGGGAGCAGCGGGGCAGCGTCTTCAAACAACTTAGCATCAAATGTGGTATAACAACTGCCTTTGAAAAAGTGTTTTGTCTATTTTAGGCACTTGTTATACCACATTTGATGCCATGTTGTTTATACAAATATTTGATCGGGAGTATTGCAACTGCATGCGTAAATGGGAGGAGTTAAACTGACATCTTAACTGGGTTTCGTTGTGACTCAACAGGGTGGCCGAAATGATTGAATGTTTACGAGATATTGATACAGTATATATCCCTACCTTGTTTACTTCAATTTCAATATTGAAAATTAAGGCTAAACAATGCTAATAGCTGGTTACCTCTGCACTTTACAAATACGACTGAAAATGTCCAGAAATCAGGAGTGCGTTTATTTTTGCCTCCCGATGAATCTCGCAATATATTCTTCTATTGATGGTTCATGGTATTACTGGGCTTATATAGCTATACTGATATAATGGTATATTATTCGGCTGCTCTACGGAAACAGGCATTAGACCGTAGACGTGCTTCACTGAACACATTTAAAAAAAAGGGATCGCAAAAATCGATCGCGCAACATTTTGCATGCACTGAATGGAAATCCGCCTTAAGCTTCGTTATAGTCTACAGTTCATATCTATTGCGCAGGGCACCAGAGTATGGCAGTGGCCAGGCTAAAAGGTCAAAACAAAATGCGTTAAAGCTATTTTAGCATATCAATAATAGAATAAAGTTAATGAGGAAACGTTCAAATCAAGGTGTGTCTTCGGTTTTGACAAAAAAAAACATGTTTGCGGGTGGCATTTCAGACATGTGTCAAACCGGCACTTCAGAACATTTGTAGATCCAATATGGCACCGCACGCGAACATCGTTTGATCTGCTCAATCCAATCAATTAAACTCTTTTTCCATTTGGCGCGAAGAAACAACCAATAGCATTTCAGAGGGTCGCATAAACACCATGCACAAGCTCAATCTTCTCACTTGGCGAATCGCTCTGCTCAAAGACCCGTGTGTATACGTGTATTGTTTGGCAGAAAACCCGCTTGCTAGCAATCATTAAAACGGCTTCGATCATTAATTCACAGTACAAAAATCCGGGCATGTAGGTCTAGTCAGTCACAGCTAGTGTCGTATATTAGGCTGATTCTCACGGTACCGGATTCGCTCGGCTCAGTTCTCGACATCTTCGTTGACTTTAACCTAAAGACTTCAGCTCGTTACCTTCGGTCGTTGGACGATTATCGATCGACACGAATTATAATTTCAGCTTGGTCATGTCCTTGCGACGGCCTTGACATCACTCATCTGAAATAAGACATCCGTTTACGTCACTGTTGCATCATCGTATCGGCAACAACGCGCGTTTAGGAATGGGCTGCATTGTCAGGGAGGAAATTGAATTTTGCTCTTCCCACTTGACGTCAGAAAGTTTAAACGATTTGAATGTTTATACATTGGGCGGATTCTGCCTCGTATTCAATTAAAATACTCACAGACGAGATTTCTTGTCAGAACACAAGGTGGGTACAATGCATGCAGGCAGTTTTTATGACAATATTATTGCAAATTCATTGCCAAATATAGCTACGTCTCTCAAAAGTATCAATAAACATGTGAACTGGTAATTTGTTGCCGTGAGTCGGTCTATTGTTCTGGTTGTAAAAACATGCTGTATTAAATGTAGATATAGCAGAGTCAAAATTGACCAATTGGAATTATGTATGTTCGAGTTAGCATTGAACTGACTATGCAAAATGTAATTTAGGTTTATATATAATTAGCCTACACAAAGCTAGATCGTCGTCAACCCAGAAATCAGGCTATTTTACAACTTAGAAATCAGGCTATTTCACGTCGAATATGAAATCGGATAATATACAGTTTTGAAAATGCGTCACGATTTTTGACGATTCCATTACCGATTGATTCTAGTTCCTCTTGGTATAGTACAATATGTGAACTGGACTAGATGGTCCATGTTTTCTTTTTCATTTCGAGACATTCATCAAGCCTGTATACATGTGGTAGCTCCATATGTATTGAAATAGTCTAAACTGCTTAAATTATATATTCTTCCTATACGCTTTAAGGTTTTCTTTTTGCTTTTTACACAAGTCAAACTATATCGATAATGAGCTGTGGGCTATATATTGCACCCCATTTACAGTACGCACTATTTCCTTTATTTTTAGGTTTGGTAGGGATGAAATTTGGACCATCTATATTTAAGTCGTTCAAATCACATCATTCGCAATATTATCCGTACGAAAACTGAAATTAAACGTTGTGTAAACGAATAAAATTGGTACCTATAGGTGAAATTTGGTAGACTATTTGGCAGTTTAAAATTTCATCCGTCTATTTTTCCGCTACCGTTACAGCTCTCCTGATTAAGGCCTTACCTTAGTGTCTTTTTCCTATTACATCTTTTCTAGGACAATGGCAACATCTTTTCTTTTAAGCAATACTCACCTTTTAAAGGGAGTGAAAACATTTAAGGAGAGAATGAAAGAACAAGGCACCAAAGTCATTCAACAGAGTGATTATTTAAAAGATTTTATGCTGAAGATCCAGAAAGAAGGATTGAATGCGGCCTATTTAGAGTACGGCGACTGTCCACCTGGCCCATCTCCACCGACAATAAGCGCATCCCAGGAATATGTTCCACCAAAGGATGTTGAATATGACGTGATTATTGTTGGAGCTGGTATGGCTGGTCTTGCTGCAGCGTATGAGTTGAAGAGAGCTGGGCTAAAAGTGAAAATCCTTGAGCAGACTGATCGTTATGGTGGAAGAGTTTTCACTTATGGAAAAGATGCAGGCCTTGCACCTGGTTTATTTGGCGAAGGTAGATTTAAAAAGACACGATTTCAAATTCATAATTGATTAAAAATACTTCACAAAATGAATTTGAATTTATTAGGACGTTAAGTACAAATCATTGATATGGCTACCCAAGCCTAAATTTGTTCTTTTCTTAGCCGGAGCGATGAGATTACCTGGTGGTGTGGATGAACCAAACAATAGAGCTCATTTTTTAACAGATGGATATATCACTGAATTTAAACTTAGCATCAAAAAGTTTCCAAACTTTGATGAAAATGGCATTTCCAATATTTACGGATTGAAGGAAAAAACAGCAAGTATGTGATGCTAGATTGAAACAATTTTAATTTTGATAAATTTCACCGTTCTACATTTTCATAGCTTAATTTTCATTATCCAAATAATCCAACTGCATGATAATGACTTTGATGTGTCTCGATCCTCATTGTCATGTTAAAGTGATAGTGGTTTCTTCACGGCGTCACTATCACGCAATCTCGTTCCCCAGCATCAAGGTAAAAAGCCCAGGGAACGAGGTTGAATATCACGATGTCTGTCTCATTAGGTGATGAATTTGTGGCATTGTCTCTGGGCTCTCCGTAGCGCATGCGCATGAACAAGGCCGCCCAAAGATAGGGGGGACAAAAGGGGGCAATTTGTCCCGGGTCCCAGGTTTGAAAGGACCTCCAAAATGCTACAAGAATGAAATTAAACTATATTTTTGGAAGTACATAGTCCTGTGTCAGAATACGTTGGGTTATTTATGGTTCATAGGGAGTAGTATAAAAAACTAGTTAACTTCTAACTGTAGTTAAGGGCAAAATTCGCCAATGAGAGTCGTGTATTTCTGAGTTAACTAGGATTTAACTATGCAACGTGTAGTTAATTACTTTTATGCGACCGCCCCCCAGGTAATACAATATATATTCGATATTGCAGAAATCTCACCGCGAAAAACACAGGAAATCACATTTGCTGCACTCTAAAATTTCAAATTTTTTTAGGAGAGGATGCCCCCAATCTCACCTAACAGTGCCCTATCCCCAAAAATTTACCATTCTTAACCTCTGAAATCTCAGGCCATGCATTAATTATCGCATTAACATTTACATGAACTTATCATGGCAGTTTTTTGTTATAAATTTTGGTTCCCTAACGGGAATTCAGCCTCGGGTTTCGAGACTCTCTTGGCGGCCCTGCGCATGAAAGTAAACATTATTCTTTTAATCCTTTTTATTAGCCTGGGAAAAAAACCATTTCGACACTGTTTGGCCAAACTGGAGGAAAGGAATTAAGACGGGAAGCAAAAAGAAAGGAGAAAAGGACGTCGTTATTAAAAATATTGGTATTATTTGTCGTATTAGCTTACTAAAATTACTGTATGCTTATTCGTCGGATGATATTTCATTTCATTACTGATTTTGTTAAGATAAACAAAATGGCGGAACGTTTTTTGTATCCAAGTTAAACGGCCCTGGGTTAACTAAAAATACTGAGTCAGAAAAGTAAAAATTGGATAAAAGTCTGTTGGGACTGTATTTTAAACTATCGTGTTTGCATTGAAAATTACGCCGGAAAAGTTCGCCGAAAAGCGCTACGAAAGTTGTACAGTTTTTTTATGCAAATATTAAATATTTATGCAAAAAAAAATAGCGGCTCGTCCAATTTTGGGAACATTTTCAAGCATCACTCCTAAATGTCGAGGTGCTTACAAATAATAATCAACATAATTTCATAAAAATTTATAATTACTTCAAATATCTTATTTGAAAAACAACAACAAAAAGCTATAGTCATCGACCAGTATCGTTTCGGAGATAGCAAATCTTGACCAATCAAAATGCAGGAAAATCAATGGTCACCAGGAAATTTATACTAAATAATATTAGAATAAAAAGCTTTATGTAACTATACTTTTGTGGGGAAATCTTTTTCAGAACTCCTGTCATAAACTTGCTTCGCCCTATAAAATATGGCACTATGCACTATAGTACTAATGCTTCAGAACATTTTAAATCATCGTCGTTTAATCCGTTTCTTCTTTTTGTAACAATGTTTAGGTGATTATTACGACAGAACAACCAGCGTTGTCACCGACCAATTGATTGCCTGGTTGAATAAAACAACCACAAATAAAGAAGAAATCGCAGTTTGGGATCGCTGGATCAACATTTGAAGCCAGTTTACGTTGGAAAGCTTTCTGGAGAGCAATGCTAATGTTATTCGTGCAAAATTGGAATGCGACGGGTGTGATAATCTGGATTCATTAGACATTGACATGCTTGAAAACCTTTTGCCTTGGTCCGACGATGCAGTTCGTGGCTACTCAGTGTTTTCTTACACACAGCAACTGGATCAATCGTTCGTTCAGTATCTTCGTGATCAACTAGGACACTGGTGGTCAGCTGATATGCACACCTTGGTTGGTGGTATGCACAGTATACCTGAAGCATTCTTCAGTCCAAACCGACCGAAACCGCTCAGTTCTGATGATTTGAAAAATAAACAACAAGTTTGCAAGATTTCGTATTATTCCTCGCCCTCTGACCCTAGCAAGGATTGCGTAATGGTAACCTGCTACGCCACTGAAAATGAACCAGAGACTACATACAAAGCACGGGTGAGTCTTCTAAATTACAATTATCATAAAAGAGAATAAAAGAGACGTTCACTAGATAAAAATGTGAGGTTAATTTACAAGAATTTGTTGAAATCTGTGTAATCAATTCTGGCATTTCTCACGCAGGTGCGTTAAATCACAAAAGTCATAATAATTATTCAAAATTTTTATCGCAATACGCATTAAATTAGGGAGGAAAATAATATCAGTTAGCGTAATTAAAGAAAGACTCGGTGTATGTTGATGTATTAATTTACAGTTCTAAATTCTGTGTGTAATTTAAATTGTTTGTATTCAGACCGTAATTGTCACCCCTCAAGTGAACATACTGCGACAAATCACTTTCGCGCCAATTCGACCTGACGAAGAGGTCAAGAAAGCTCTTAGAAAGAATCTTCAAGCAATTGAAGACATGTTTACAGGACCTTCCACAAAGATTATCCTGCAAACCAAGACCAGATTCTGGAAGAGGAGAAGTATGGCATCAAAGGTGGCTTTTCTAAGACCAACCTACCTATCGGTCAAATACATTACGTAAAGCCCGATCCTGACTATCTCGCGTCCACCAAGCAAGGAATAATTCTGATTTACACCTGGAAAAATGAAGCACTGCTTTTTGGTTCCTTGACCAAAGAGCAAGCGAAGAAGGAAGCCATTGAGCAAATTTCAGAAATCCACCCTGAAATAGAAGGGGCAGTTGAAAAATGCATTGTCCATGCTTGGTACAACCAACCCTCTTATCAAGGTGCCTATGGACTCTTGAAGACCACACAATACAACAATATCAGGTATGTAATTGGAAAGATGAATTTTTGAACTGACATATAAACGTCCGACCAAAAAATATATCCTCTTACGTAACTCAGGTGTCATATTATTTACTATTATTCCTGACAACCGGGGCAATTAAGTCCGAGACTCTTCGCCTTCAACTTTCTTTCACAGCGTCTTTTTGCCGAAAACAACGAAGCTAGTTTACCTGTCCGCATGGATGCAAATGGGATGTCAGTCATGACACCAAAAGAGACCACAGACCCGAGCACTTAATTATTCCCCAATTTTGCACGACTTTCCCTTTTTGATCATATGATCTATTATCACTGCATGATCTGATAATACGCTGGACAAACTTTTCCCATCGAAAATAAAGTTAATGAATTAGGGAATATATGATCCCATATAATACTTCGAACCTCATGCTTAGGACTCAAGTTTAAGCCGTATAAAACGACGTCAAAGTCGTTCGTGGCATTGGATTTTCGTTCATGGCCTCTTTTAAGGAGTTTCGAGTGGGGGGACCATTATAATGGGAAAAAGAGACCTCTCCCTGGCGCAACAAAGTATACATGTTGATCGTGGCCGAAGAGGTTACTTCGAAAATGTTTGAAATTAGTTGCTTGATTTTAAAATAATAAGGGAAATATAACCAGGAAGCAGCGTGGCAGCGTCTTCAAAAACTTAGCATCAAATGTGGCCATAAAAACTGCCTAAAATAGAGAAAACTTCGAGAAGTGTTTTGTCTATTTTAGGCAGTTGTTATACCACATTTGATGCTAAATATGGGACATCATATTCTTTCGCCCTCAAAGTAATATCTTTTGCCTGTATTTGTGTTTTCGGTGGGTATTCCTTACTATGTTTCCCCTATTGAGTGTGTGTTATTAGTGGCGGATCCAGGATATTGGTAGATTTTTATGTAAAATTATTCTTTATGGTTTCTCAGGTACGACCCAGGGTCCTATAAAGATTTTTTTTTGCTGAATTACAGGTATTTGTGGGAGCCGATGGGAAATGTGCATTTTGCTGGTGAAAACATATCATTTACGGCTGGCTGGATTCAAGGAGCTTTGGAAAGTGGCTTTAAATCGGCATATCAAATTTATGCACGTCACATGAAGAGAGTGAAGTTGGAAAAAGAGTGAAAGATTAACTGAATGCATTCATGATTTTAGATTTACGGTTAAATATACATCACAGTTACTTTCTTAGTTAATTAGCATGGGTCATGAATTCATTCAAAAGTTAAATTCATCACGTTAAATTGATTAGTTGTTATTGATTGAATTATAAGCAATTTTTTTAAAAAAGATACCATTTCTCTGTCTTTTCTATCAATATAAACCTTTAAAAAAATACAAATCAAAGACGTCAACGTTGTCTAGGGTGCTTTGGCCCATCCTGCATGTAAACAGGTACATTATGGACTTTTTGATTGAAACAACTCTTTGCTGATGAGTTGAACGGTGCATATTAGAGACGCCATCTCCCTCTTTGAAAAGACAAAATTATACCTATTCAAACGAAACGCACTACGCCTACGACGTATGCATTGGCCATGCAGCTTTGATTCAGTTGAATATGCAACAACCGATACTAGCAACGCGAGCGAGGAACAGCTCAAACAGTCTTCATTCGATTGCTCATTGGACTTTGAACACTAATTACTTCATGTTTTATTATATTAAAATTTATAAGAAGGTGGAATATTTTCTGGTTATAAATGTTTTCGTGCGTACGATCGGGTGCCCTTTTTAAAATTTTATTGGGAATACATTTCGTTAATATTAAGAACGGTAAGACTTGATCGTTAATAATTATTAAGAACGGTAAGACATGATCGTTGATATTAAGAACGGCAAGACTTTCCTTTCCGTGGGAATAAGTGAAATGCAAGTATTTTTAAAGGCTGCGATCCGCTTAGAGCACCTAAATCGGCAGTAATTTTTCTGTTATGAAGGTCATGGAAGGAAATTAACTGTAGTTATAGCTGTTATAGGGACAGAATTCCCCAATCAAGGTCGTGCATGTATTTAGAGTTTACTAGGATGCAACTATGCAAAATGTAGTTAATGAGTTTTATACAAGCGGTCCCTGGTGGGTAAATGGCATATAGTAATGAGTTTGAGGGAATTGAAATAAAGGGCCTGTTGAATAGAGGTGACGTGAGAAGTGCATAATTATAATGGAAGACTAATCAGGAGTCTTTGATGTGATGCCCTTTTTTCCTCGTCAGCCGGGGTAACTCACTCCAGGTAAACAGGTCCTTTAAGCATCTCGCTTTCAATTTTACGCATCCATGGGCTCAGCATAATAATAAAGCATTCAAATTATAATAAAATATTGATTTCAATAGACTTTCCTGTTTTAGCTTTTAAGCGCGCAATTCGTGACGGTAGATGATTATCAAGCAACTGTCAGTTGCGATATCTCCCTGTTTAGAAGCGATTTTGCTTGTAAGAAAACGTTCCATTCCGCTATCATTATTTATTTATCAAATTATCAGGATTCGATTCACGGCTTCAATTTCAATATAGAAGGAGGACAGACTAAGCTACAGGTGAAGCTACATATATTTGACCGCTGTGTGATAAGAGTAAGAAGAATTTTCAGGTATGCGTTGATAAATCCTGTATACATCTTGGAACAATGTTATATACATATGGGGGGATTACGTATATAGACCTTTTACGAATCCATGGCATACAGCTAGTTGGCCAAAATTTCTTGTAAAATTTCTGAATCGGTAACTATAATTGCGAAACGGTAACTTTGGGGCAGCTCATAGCTCGCTCCTTAAAAAAGCCAAACACCCTTTCAGTACACACAGTTCGAGTTTTATTACATCAAGGGTTATCCCAAGAGAACATAAATATGTGTCCATGTATAGCTATGGCTATATGTGCGTGATCTACTTCATTAATCGGATCGCCTTGGACTTTTTAGGATATGCGCGCTATATATAAATGGATTATTTTTTAAACAGAGCTGTGAAAAAAATTAAACTTTTCAGTTAAGTGTTTTCGTGCCATATGAAAGAAAAGAAAATACAATTAAGTTCGTGGAAACTCGCTCACTTCACAAGAAAGATTTACCAAACAGTAAATCCTGGTAAGGTTTGCAGTGTTGTTTCAAGTTTGCCGTATATATAACTTAGGCCCTTTTTACATGGACTCATGGAGCGAGTTATCCCGGCTATATGCGAGGTGAAAACTGCATATAATTAAAGACTAATCAGGTTGTGATGTGATGCACTTTTTACCTCGCCTAACCGGAATAAGTGTCATAACTCGCTCTATTTGAACAGGACATTAATGCCTTAAGGAATTGTAAGTGTATATGCAGTCGTTCAAGCATCAAATTTTACACGCGACAAACGTTAATCACACGCAGCAGAGCAGAATTTACTGTTTGACGAAATACATCTGAACGGCCTTAATTTGCTTTTTTATCAGTATTTTTCTGTCCGGAAATAAGTTTCGGTTTACCATTACATGCATGACAACAACACTAAGTTTCAGCCCACGCTGAAATTATTATATGTATAATCGCGAGGGCGGCATTTCATAACAATACCGGGATAAATTTTCAGCCCTGTAAACCACCGCTGTAAACTGCCCGGGCTGAAAAGACTCCATGTAATCAGCCCCTCGAGTATCTTGCTTTCAATTTTACGAATCCGTGGAGCATGTATAATAATAATTCGTCTTAATGAATTCAAATTTTAATAAAATCTTCATTTCAATAGGGGGTAATTTTTCGTTCACCCTGTTCAATTGCAAGAATCTGCGGGATATTTGTGTTTTAATGGCACGTATGGATTGTTTAATCGAATAATTACATACAAACCCTCGTGTAAATTTCAACTTGAAAATTTCTATGCATGCAGTACAAGCTTTGTAGGCAGTACGTAGCGATGTATAATTCATTCGGAATCATTCATTCATTTTACGTGAGGTGCTTAGCACGATACCTCTCACATCCTGAGGTGTCCCACAGGCCGGATGTCTAAACATTGATGATGATGATAATGATGTTGATGAAATTTAATTAGCAGAGAAATCGTTCAAGTATGCACGTTCCATTGATTCCGCTCTTATTTATTCATCAGATTATCAATGTTCCATTCATTTCAATTTCAATCTCGAAGGAGAGCAGACTAGGCTGCTGGTGATCAGAACCTACATTCTACCGGAGAAAATTTTTCAGGTATGCGTTGACAAATCCTGTAGCATGCATACTTCTTGCATCAATGCTAACCGGATAGCATAAAGGTTTGCGTGTACATCGGCTATATACGGCCTTTTAACTGATCGATGATATACAATAGTCTATGAAATGGATGTGTACGGGCTATTAAATTATAAATGCATGACAAAATTAACTTCGCTAGCGAAATTCATGTTGCATTTTAACTCATTCTGCTTTTACCCCATATGTCTGTGTACGTACGTATGACCTGTTTAAGTATTGTTGTTTAATAATATCATTGTTATAATCGTTGTATATATTATTTCTTGTAAAAACTTTGAATCAGCCGCATGGCTAAACTAATTGCGAATCAATAAGTTTATTTAGTGCGCTCGCAACTTGTTGTGTAACCGAAGCCAAATACACCATTGTGCATGTTTATTACCGATATAAGAGTAATCATATGGTTACATATATGGCTATACATGCGTAATTTACTTGATTAATCCGCTTAATTTCCATACAAAGGTGGATCGAACTTTAAGCTTCCGAGTGGATAAATATTTTCGTGCTATATATGAAAAGAAAATAGCAAAATTGGTGAAAATTGCATATAAGCCTACCTAGGTCAGCAATTTATCATGATTTAGAGCTTCGAATCGGCGGAATGGCGAACCCAAGGTCACAAATATTCGATCGCGAATAACACATCTGACGTAAATGGGGGGAGCTTAACTGACACCTTACTGAATTTCTTTGTGACTCCACAGGATGTCCAAATATAAGATAAAGCATGTATTTTGGTTTTCGGAAATGTTTTTCCGTGATGAGTAACTCAATTATGCCTACAGGCAGAATAAAGGCATGCTAAATAATGACATTACGTAAAACTTCGTACAATTTTTTATTGATGTCTGCAGTCTAATGTACAATGTTTTGACATCATCACCTTAAATACAAATATAGGTCGAAGCGAAGCCCTCGGAAAATATCATCACTTCTGGAAATATTTCGCTGAACCCCCCTCACTCAGATCTATAAATGATATAAATGTTTTGACATTATCTCCTGGAATAAAAATATAGGTGCTGTTCAGGTTTAGAGAGTTTAAAGGCCCTTAGATTTGTACCATGATACCGGAAATTCGTTCAGACATGTGAAGTTTTATTCCTCTGTCTTGATATCGCTCTTCCTGTTTACCTCATTCAAATATAATCTTGAACGACTCGTAGTATAGCAAACAAAGCTACTAGCTGGTTATTTTACCTTCGACGGCTGAAAAAGTTCAGAATTCCTGCATTTTACTTCTGCTGCGTGGATTTCAGGTAGCTAATATAATATTGAATAGATGTTTCATGGTATTACCGTCCGTATATACATGTACTGATATATCCCAATTTTATGACAAACTATTGAGAAGCTGTGTATTGGCCATTGCGCTATTAGAACTAACTATTTGAAAACAATATCACAAATTGTTATAAACAGCTAACAATTCATAATACTATATATATGAAAGTGTAAACACCAGCTGCCGTAGCCGCCATGCACGTCTAACTTGGCCTGTATGCTTATATCAATATATCAAATGTCGATATTGGGCTGTAGATATCCTGACAGAGGCCAGGCCAAGTGAATTTACAGTACAAAAAAACAGGCAACAGCTAGGTCTATAAATCATTTCTGGCCATGCATATAGAAGCTCATAACACCTCGAAAAACAGGAAGGAGGGATTGGGAAAGGGAATGAGGAAAGGAACGAGAAATGAATAATTGTAATGGGAAACAAAGTCTGTAAAACCCGGAATAGCATTCGTTGGTAATTTAAGATTAATACAGTTAAAGGGATATACGGAGACAAATATCAAATCGGATACATGCTGTTATGAAAATGCGTCACAACATTTTACCAATGCGTTACTGGGGGAGATAAACTGGACAGTTTATGTTTACTTAATTGTATTTACTCACATCGGGAAACTGCATAAAACTGAAACCTGTATATAAGGTCCTGTCGTCGAACTTTTATTAGCACATATGACCTAAAACAAAGACTTACGCCTGTATTCTAAAAGCTCACTCACACTCAAACTCATTGAGTGGGAGATCTTAATCTTCTCATAACGTTTCAATGGCGGTATTTCCAGCCGAACAGGGGCTTGATTTTCAGTTATTTACCTTATATCTTTCCATCTATTTAGAAAAAACTTTCTCATTGATCAACATTAACAAAATTGATATGTCACACTCAATGAATTTGAGTGTGAGTGAGCTTTTTGAATACAGGTGATAAGCCCCGTTTACACTACAGTCAATTTATTGGCGCGGCAAGCGTTAAAATGTGTTTTGCTAAATCTATTTTAGAAAACGAACTTATTCAGTTGGCTTTTGAAGAGAATATGTGTGTATTTCACATTTAATATTGCACACTTGACCATCGCTAGTGCACAAAGTGTGCAAAGTGCCAAGCCGCACACCAGAGCTATTTTCTGAGCTAAAGTCCTCGCGTGGCTGTTAACGTTAGCTCAGCAAGTTACTCTCGTGTGCGGATGGTTTTCGGGCTGAGCTAACTGCCTCGCGAGTTCGCTAGCTCAGCTGATAGCTCTCGTGAGCTTTAGCAGATGACCTATCCCCCTTTAACCTTGAAGCGCGCAATGCGTAAAAAAACCTTGCCGAAAAAAACACAACTCAAATTGACCTCAAATTGACCTTCAACCACAGTCATGCATTGTGCGCTTGAAAGCTAAAAGGAGAAAGGTCGATTAAATACTGCTACAAATGCGTTCATTTAGAGACGTTTATCAAAGCTCTAAAATTGTCCATAAACTGTCCGTTATAAAGTTGCTCAAATCATGATCCTAATACGCCTCGCGAGATTATAGTCTGTGGCTAAAGGTTTTCTGTTTATAAACAGATCGAATTTATTTAATTAGCCGTGTATTACTTGACAAGCTGACGGCATTATTTAAAACAGGTCCCAAAAGCTGACATATCAGAGTCTTCTATTGTATCTTTTCTAGGACAATGGCAACATCTTTTCTTTTAAGCAATACTCACCTTTTAAAGGGAGTGAAACCATTTAAGGAGAGAATGAAAGAACAAGCCACCAAGGTCATTCAACAGAGTGATTATTTAAAAGATTTTATGCTGAAGATCCAAAAAGAAGGATTGAATGCGGCCTATTTGGAATACGGCGACTGTCCACCTGGGCCATCTCCTCCGACAATAGGCGCATCCCAGGAATATGTTCCACCAGACGATATTGAATATGACGTGATTATTGTTGGAGCTGGTATGGCTGGTCTTGCCGCAGCGTATGAGTTGAAGAGAGCTGGGCTAAAAGTGAAAATCCTGGAGCAGACTGATCGTTATGGTGGAAGAGTTTTCACTTATGGGGAAGATGCAGGCCTTGCACCTGGTCTATTTGGCGAAGGTTGGCCTAAAAAAAGACAAAATTTCTTCGAATATTTCATTGAACGTCATATTAATTCGTTTTATCGAAATTCTTCTTTATTTTTCGCATTATTAAATAGAAAAATGTTTTACACAATTTTTATTTGTACTCAGAAGTGTAGAAATTATTCTATAAGGCAAACGCGACCACCAATCCACCTAACGTTCTTTTAACAATAGTTGGAGGTCAGGAATTAATTTCATGGTCATCCAAAATTCTGCCCGATAGATTTCTTTTGAAAATACGAATACATACAAAACAAATCCGTCGCTTGGAACGAATATAGGATTGAATATGCATCTCCCAGCTATCCCATGTATATAGTTTAGTCCCTTGTATAGAACTAGTTTACTAGTGCGCACGTTCTCACCAAATGACAAGTAATTAATTACGTAATTTATTCTCCAAACTCCTCCATAAAACTGATAAAACCTGTAGATAAGGCCTGTCTCAGTCATCAAACTTTTATTAGCACATATGACCTAAAAGACAGACTTTAGCCCCGTTTACAAAGAAAACACTATAAAGAAACTTTGCCTTACCATACCTTAATTTTTTTTATTTTTAGCTGGAGCGATGAGATTACCTGGTGATGTGGGGGCACCAAATGATAGAGCGCATTTTCTAACGGATGGATACGTCACTGACTTTCAAATAAGCATCAAAAAGTTTCCAAACTTTGATAAAAATGGCATTTCCAATATTTACGGATTAAAGGAAAAAACAGCAAGTATGTGATGTTAGATTGAAAAAATTGACCTACAGTAGCTACTGTATATCATAGAGTCATATTCTTGTCATAATGTCAAACTTCGTCAAAATGTGGATGGTATGTTGCTGGTATGTAAAAACATTTGATGTTTTGCTATTTCCCAATGTCATCTAAGAGAAATCACTATTGTCGTAAGGTTAAACACATAGCAAAAATTTAAGGACGTCATTGTCGTGATGTCTTTCTCATTTGGTGATGAATTTTTCATCATATGAATCAATTCTCTAAACGTTGTAAAGGAGTAAAAATTATCATCTTACCGGTTTTTTAGCCTGGGAAAAAAACCATTTCGACACTGTTTGGCCAAACTGGAGGAAAGGAATTAAGACGGGATGCAAGAAGAAAGGAAAAAAGGACGTCGCTATTAACAATATTGGTATTATTTATCCCATTTCAAATTCGAATGTTTGAACTACTCACATTTATCTGAGCATTTATATGATTTTTGTGCTCAGATACTCACGACCTAGCCTAGTCTAATGTGATGTAGCACGGAACTTTTACTTCATTTCTTTTTACTAGTAGTTGCTCTCCGGAAAGACAAGCATTGATTGGTTTGGAATTTTCAGCACCTATAGCCTTAGGAATAAAATATTATAATTATTGGCCCAACATTTTGTCAGGGCGTCCAATTCTGCAGCAATGATATTCAGTAGTTTCAGCAGTAAAATTAGATGTGAGCCTGATACACAGTGTTATGTTTCCTGTTTAAAACATCATTGTCGTTTAATCGTTTCTTTCGTTTTTAACAATGTTTAGATGACTATTACAGCAAAACAACCGGCGTTGTCACCGATCAATTGATTGCCTGGTTGAATAAAACAACCACCATTAATGAGGAAATCGCAGTTTGGGATCGCTGGATTGACATTTGGAGCCAGTTTACATTGGAAAGCTTTCTGGAGAGCAATGTTAAGGTTATTCTTGCAAAATTGGAAAGCGAAGACGAAGACGGGTGTGATAATCTGGATTCCTTAGACATTGACATGCTTGAAAACCTTTTGCCTTGGTCCGACGATGCAGTTCGTGGCTACTCGGTGTTTTCTTACACAGAGCAACTGGACCAATCATTGGTTCAGTATCTTCGTGATCAACTTGGGAACTGGTGGTCACGTGATATGCATACCTTGGTTGGTGGTATGCACAGCTTAGCTGAATCATTCTTCAGTTCAAAACGATCGAAGCCATTGATTTCTGATGATTTGAAACATAACCAACAAGTTTGCAAGATATCTTATTTTTCCTCGCCCTGTGACCCTAGCAAGGATTGTGTCACTGTAACCTGCTACGCGTCAGGAAAAGATCCAGAAACTACGTACAAAGCACGGGTAAGTCTACGAAATTATTTATCTTTGGCTCTAATTTCTATGTTCCATATCTCTATTAAATGTGGTATAACAAAACAATAGACAAAAAAGTGGCCTTCGGTCTAAACGTCGAAAAGTGTGTTGCCTAATTTAGGCAGTTGTTATACATGCAACATTTGATGCGAAGTTCTTTAAAGACGCTGCCACGCTGCTCCCTGGTTATATTAAACTTATCTCCATTACTGGCATGTTAAGTTACAAGGGTTTGTTAAAGCTTTATGCAATGATTTCTCGAAGCTCGTTCAACTACCATGAAGCATTGTTTTTTGGCCATGCATTATATCCAAAAAACATATTTGTAAATATTTTTTCCTTCTAGATTCATTGAATTCATTTTCAGTAGCTGTCATTTCTTAATTGTAAATTCCATTGTGAAGTAATCCAAAAGTTTCCTTAAGTCTTTACATCGTAACACGCATCAAATTACAAAGAAAAAAGTTAGCATAAGAAAAGTGTGTTCACTGTGTCTTTTTGCAGTTCTGCATGTTCTGATTTATCTCATTTAAATCCAGGCTGTAATCCTCACCACTCAAGTGAACATACTGCGACAAATTACCTTTGAACCAATTCAAGCAAACACGAAAGACAACGAGGCCCTGAGAAAGAATCTTCAAGCTATTGAAGACATGTTCACAGGACCTGCCACGAAGATTATCCTGCAAACCAAGACCAGATTCTGGGAAGAGGAGAAGTATGCAATCAAAGGTGGCTTTTCTAAGACCAACCTACCCATCGGTCAAATACATTACGTGAAGCCGGATCCTGACTATGTCACGTCCACCAAGCAAGGAATAATTCTAATTTACACCTGGAAAAATGAAGCACTGCTTTTTGGTTCCTTGACAAAAGAGCAAGCAAAGAAGGAGGCCATAGAACAAGTTGCAGAAATACACCCTGAAATAGAAGGAGCAGTTGAAAAATGCATTGTCCATGCTTGGTACAACCAACCCTCTTATCAAGGTGCCTATGGACTCTTGAAGACCACTCAGTTCAACAATATCAGGTATGTAACTTGCGTAAGAGTATTACAGTAATTACATACGCAATAATCAAACGAAATTAAAATTAGTAGCTTGAGTCTTAGGGCGCTTTCCTTTATAGGGTAAAAACAGCCAGACCGGTCCTATTGTATTTCAATACAGGCCAAATTGCCATGTTTTGTCATTCGTGTGCCACTTTTAGTGCCAGCTATAAGACTAATAAGTTTCAGAAAATGGCACATTCCTTTAACTTTAGCGACTACATAAAGAGGAAACTTAAACCTGCATGTATGTATGTAAGGACTTACACAGATCCACTGGAAATTACTTTCAAAATGTTATCGGTTAGTTTGTAAGCAAAGAGCATGTAGGCTATCGTAATTTATCGCGATAATATCATACGATATTGTCCCTCGAGCCATAAAACTGATATAATCGTGTGATAACCTATACTAACAGCATTAAGTTCTAAATTGAGATCAAATGGTGCATATATTATACTATTTTATGCTAACAAAGGGCACACGCCTACCTCCGCTCGCTCCGTAAGTATAGAAGGGCAATGGGGGCATCTATCCCCGCTGCCCATGTTGTTCGGCGCCCCTGATAAATAATAATTTTGTCGCGTTTTTTTTTGCCAGAATTATCCTATGAACCGGATCTAACATTATGGTTTCATTTGCGTTTAAGATGATTAGTTTTGGTTAAGAATTGGATGACAATTTCCCTGCCTAAAAAATAGGTTCATGGCGGGTAGTTCTTGCCCTGTAAACTGCATTTCCTCTCACCTATCGTAATAATTATGCAGTTACTGAGTTACATCGGATATTTGCACACTTTCCGATGCAAATTCCTTGAACTATTTCCTTTTTCGACTACAATTTCTCATTTCCTATATGAGGTAAATGGTAAGCACCCCAGATACGTAGAATAAAAATGGTTTCTTCGATATTACCCTATTTTGTGTTATAAATATAATTTTTTTTTAACTGACAGATATTTGTGGGAACCAATGGGAAATGTTCATTTTGCTGGCGATAACATATCGTTTACGGCTGGTTGGATTCAAGGAGCTTTGGAAAGTGGTTTTAAATCGGCATATCAAGTTTATGCACGTCACATGAAGAGAGTGAAGTTAGGAAAGGAGGAAAAGATTAACTGAAAGCATTAATTCTATGTTTAAAGATTAACGGTTAAAGATACAGCATAATTACTTTTTTAGTTAATGAGCATGGGACATGAATAAAGTTAATGAGCATGGGACAAAGATAAATTGAATGGATTTATGATATTATTTTTAGGGATGGTATTAAGAGTGATTTAGATTGAATGTTCGTATTTGTCAACTTTAGGTGCCTCGGCTAATTTCTTTACTAAACCAACTTTGTTTTGTCGTTCACCCCATCTTGATAAAATATATAATTTGTCTTGCAATCTAGTGCATATTTTTCTCTTTTATACGGACAGAAAATAACGTTTATATAACTACGTTTCGAGGCAGGCCCCTTCATCAGAAACGATCAAATGGTTAACCTCAAATATTAGCTTTACATAAATTAAAATAGTAATTATCTATTACATTCCGGCCTTTTGTTTAACCCATTGGACAATACGAGTTTTTTTTTTTTAATTCTTTCTCCCAGCATTTGCGAACATACAGCCATGTAAGCCTGAAATTTAGTGCAAAGTGTTTTCAAAGTTTGAAACTTTGCAACATTGTGGTGAGTGACAAAAATTCAAACGAGTCAGATTTATTAAATCATGCAGTAATGTTATTTAGTGTCAAAATTGTTACAAGTATAACAAAAAAATAGGATGAAGCTTATGCATCTGAATGAGCTTATGCGTCTTTAACCTGAAAAAATACTTCACGTCTAGTTAATTGTTTGTATACGCAGTCATTTAAGCTATTGAAATGTTTCATCGACAAAAACGCTATACCAGTTCATGTCAAAATTATATTAACAACAGTGGTTTCAAGCACAACTACATTTAATACCTATTCTCTATGGAACAAAGACATTAATAAGCAGGAGTTTTGGGGTTGAAAAAAGTCTAAAGTATAAAGTTAAATTCAACACCAAATTTTTCGAAATGTTTTCCATTTCTGAATAACGCGCATTTTTGATACCATCAATCGTTTTGCTTCGCAATCACTGACGTCGACCAATATTCCGCGGTTTATATTCATTGGGTCGATGAGATCTTGGTATTCTGTCTTTCCTCGGATAGCCAGATCAGCAAGTATCTTTCCAATCATTGGAACAAATTTCATTGCCCAACCACCTGTGAACACGACGATACGCTTTGACTTGGGCAGAAAATCCAAAACGAATCCAGCACCTTGGTCGGGTCCGGAAACATCTTTATTCAATTGCGCAAAACCAGCGATACACGTTGTTTCTTTGTCCGCATTGCTAGACGGACCCAGATCAGGCGTGGACTTTTCCACGAAATCTGTTGTGAATTTCAGTGCGTCCACATCGACTGGTCGTTGGTTCACATCAGGAGGAAAGAACATGAAGTCGAATTCTTTACGTGAGGTATACGCAGGTGCAACTCGTAAGTATTCCGGACTACCAGCCTCGCTTGGGAATCCGTAATAATCGTTGTAATCTTTCGGGGCATCGCTACCGTCATCCTCTGGTTTAGGTCCAAAGAAATACCAAATAGGCCATTGAGCCGGATCGGTGTTTGATGCACTTTTTCTCTTCTTTGTGTAATAAGTGGAACACCAGAGGTGGATGATCAGGTTGATACGCTGATTGAAGCAGGGAGTTAGAGCGTCCAAGGTTTCGTTCACATACGCGCCTGGGGTGAGGATGATCTTTGTACCCTTGTAGGTTTTCTCGTTTCCATCAACCAGTGCTGTAACTTTAACGCTATCTTCCAAGGAATGGTCGATCTTAATTACACGCGTCTTAAGTTTCAACGTTGCATTCGTACTTGCTGTTAATTTCTCAACATAACGTTGAACAACGCTGGGGACATTTACAGTCCCACCTTTCTCCGTAAAGAGAGCTTTCGCGTTATCGATGTCAGCCACAGCGCAGGAGACAAATGTGAACCTAGGATCATTCATAACTTCCTCCTTTCCTTCAAGAACTATATAATCCTTCCCCTCCTCTTGGCCAAGTTTCTTGAGGTTTTTAATTGCTTGGTCAATGTTTCCCTCGCCGCTCTCAACAGTGGAATCACCGAACCAGAGACAACCTGTTACTTGAAGAAGACTTTCGTCGTTCATCTCTTCTTGGAGCTTCATCCACATATCGTAGGTTTTCAGGGCAAGATCGCACAAATTCATTTCGGAATATGCTATGCGGTATTGTCGACTGTATCCAGGACTTGAACCGTGAACGTTGGCAAAATTGTTAAACTGCTCCAGGAGAAGAACTTTCTTTCCTTCTTTAACACTACATTCGTAAGCGGCGGCGAGACCCATTGGTCCTCCTCCAACAATAATTACGTCATAGAATTCTTCCATCGTGCCAATTATGAATGGATTGATTGGAAAGGTTTTAACACAGTCTAAATGTAAAGAAAAAATGTTTCACTACTGAAATCATAACACCCCCCTGTTTAATTTCCTTTTAGATCCCACATTTCTCAGAATCCACAGTGGCATAGTCAATCAATCAATCAATCAATAAAAGTTTATTTAACCACGCTACCCTCATCATATTTGGATGGTTTTCGTGAGGGGCGTCACACAATTACAATAGATTAAAAATACCTATGTACAAGTATTAAAAATAGTTTTATAATATAAACGAATAAACATGCAATGTAAGTATTAAAGAAGATAAAAACTAGGAATAATCGATGTCTGACTCAGTAGTTACATTATTTTATCATATTTTTAAAGATACCTAAAGATTTTGTTTCTCTTGCTTGCTTTGGTAGACTATTCCATAGCGCAGCCCCACTGTAACCAAAACTCTTTTTTAAATATTCTGTTTTTGGTTTAGGAAGTGAGAGATTTATGTCGCCATTTCTAAGATTATAATTTCTCATATTTGTCTCCCTGGTAATGAATTTATGTTTTAGGTTAGGGGATGAGTGGTTGTTTAGTATTTTAAACATCAAAACAGATTTATTCATTTTATGTCTATCATTCAGATTCTTCCACGACATAGCATGGAGCAAATCTGTTGATCTAACATCGTAGTTGGCCCCTGTCATAATTCTTGCCGCCCTGTTTTGTAGTTTTTGCAATTTTTCAATGAGTAAGCTTCCACAATTATCCCATAAAGGACTGTAGGCATTGACCGATTGTGCTCGGCAACTTTTTAGCAACTTTTGGCTTTCGGAGCAACTTTTTTCATTGGGAGCAACTTTTTTCATCGGTAGCAACCTCGAGCACTATTAGCCTTTCAGGGCAACTTTTTAGCGTCTTTTGGCAAAAATGGACAATTACTGTCAATTAGAAATTTAGATTCGACAATGAAAAACGATGTTTTGATGTCGGTAGTTCTTAGTTATTTTTTGCACGAACCCACGTTGTCCCAGTGACGTCCAGTATCATGTATCACATGTATGCACTACAGCACTATACCTATATGCTCAGTGTAACACTGCATGACAAAACTGACAGTGTTTAATATCGAATGTCGTGTAGCTTACTAGGGTTTTCTGTGCATGTGTTTAACAATAAAAGAAAAATGGCGTCCGTTTATTTCAGTAATTCAAATTCCTAATTTGATGCCATGGACGAATAACTTGACCTGTCCAACCGAGACGACTTATATCAGAAACAGAAAACGAAGATGTGGAGATTTCAGAGAACCAAGAAATCCAAGATCCAATTTTGAGAGCCAGAAATGCTGGTGCAAGTCTAAGTGCCCCAGCAGAAGCTCATATAGCACGTAAGCGAAAACGTCCGGTCAATAGAATAAAAATACGCTAATGCAAAAGATTTATTAAAATATTTTTATAAATTTGTTCAAATTTCTAGAAATTTATATTTATAGGTATCATTTTTGCAATAATATTTTAAAATATGGAAACTTTTAATTAAGTATGCGTAAAAATATAGCGAAATTTGATTAAAAATTAGGTGCAACACTTCGAGTTTACGTAGCAACTTTTTGTATTTTTGGCAACTTTTTAGCAACTTTTCGCCTTTTATCAGCAACTTTTCGCATTTTACGCAGCAACTTTTCAGAAATTTTCGAGCACAATCGGTCAATGCCTATAAAGGAGAGCAATAATCAAAATATGGGAGCACGAGAGAATTATACAAATTTTGTAAAGTTTCGTACGGTACAAATTGTTTTACTCTTTTAATAATTCCAATGCCGGACGCAACTTTTTTACATGTTGCATCTATATGCTTATCCCAGCTCATTTTTTCGTGCCGAGCTGTCTTTCCGCAAAGTCGAGTCCAATTTCCGCTGGGAAATTCGTTAGTTCAATTATACGTCAGTTCAATTATTCAAGATCGTTTATTAGGTCAACTTTCGGTCCGTTAACCCGTGCCTTAGCTGCATTGATGAAGTCTTGGATTAACGGACCAGAAATTTGCAGTATTAAATACTTATGTGGGATACCTACAAGCTAATTTAATTATAATTGATTTATTGTTCAAATATAGGATTATTCATTGACGGTTATTTGAGGCAGGGGCTGAATTAAGTCACGAATAAATTCTTTCTCACGTCAACATAATGGTCTTAGACAGTTCTAACTTCTGAGGCGTGTTTGTACCGCTCTTTTCAGTTTATTATACAAGTGATCAAGCATCGTTACATTTATTCTTATCAGCGAAATAATAATCCTGTCAAGAATGAATCTTCGGGTGCATCAATATCAATCATGATTATTAGCATCTATACCTACGTCAATCAAAAATCACTCAATCACACATGGTTGTTTAAAATGACATTACATAAACGCAAAAAAAACGAATAGCGTGACCACCTGCCTCATGTGTCTTCTGAAATTAATTCTCATGTCTTGTGGATGGAGTCGCCTACAGGAAATCAGTGAGGAACAGTGAACTCGATGGCGGACACTGAAGCCTTTCTTGTAGGTATGACCCAGGCCTCCACGCGGAAATTTCGTAGGTAAAATGGCGGCAATTTTTTTTTCCTTTGAAATTTCTGCGCCAGAGGCCTGGATCTTACCTACAAGAACGGCTTCATGATTTGCCATCTTGGCTTCACTCATTAATTAGGGAAAGTCAGAGAGCTATATAGCGTTCCAGTCTTATTTGATTTCACTGGTGAGGTATCAATAAAATTTTCTTTCTATTTAACTCACAATGGAGAAGTCATATTTGTCCATATCCCAAACATAAACAATTTTATCGATCTTTAAGAACTGAAAATTTGAGGAGAAATCGAGTGAAGTATTTTCCAGAGAAAGAAGAATACTTTTATGATAGTAATTGCATGACAAAAAAGTATCAGCTTTAGTTGTTAGCAATTATATGC